CAGTCCATCCTAAAGGAAATCAGTCCTGAATACTCATTGGAAGGACTGATGCTGAAGCTGAAACTGCAACACTCTGGCCACCTGATATGAAGAACTGACTCCTTGGAAAAGACCCTGATGCTGGGAAAGACTGAAGGCAGGAGGAGAAGGGGAGGACAGAGGATGAGACAGTTGGATGGCATCACCAACTCAACAGACATGAGTGTGAGCAAGTTCTGGTAGTTGGTGATGGACAGGGAAGCCTGGCATGCTGCAGTCCATGGGGTTGCAAAGAGTCAGACACAATTGAGTGACTGAACTGAACTGAAGAAACCAGATAAAAGATCTTGCTTTCATCATAACTGACACCTAAGTTGTTTAAACATATCAGGCAAGTCTCCTGGTTTCATTTTCTGGTCTCCTTGTCTGTCAATCAAGACTGAGCTGGGACTTTCCCAGTGCTCCAGTGGTTAAGAATGTGCCTGCCAGTGCGGGAGACACAGGTTCAGTCCCTGGTCCGGGAGGACCCCACATGCCACGGAGCAGCTAAGCTCGTGCACTCCAGCAGCTGAGGCCCACACACGGAGAGCTCATGCTCCACAACCAGAAAAGCCAGCACACCACGCAAGGAGTGGCCCCCGCTCGCTGCAACTAGAGAAAGCCCATGCGCATCAACAAAGACAGTGCAACCAAAAATTTTTTTTTTTTAATTTTTTTAAAGAACAATTATCTTCACACACAATAAAAAGACTTGAGTTGGTACGGTCACTAATATCCCTTCCTGCTCTGACATCCCATGTCAATAACAAAAAAAAAACCCTCTGAACACAATGTTCTATATCTTAATTGAGATAAACGTCTTCATCGTCAAAACCCCATCAAACTGGACACTTAAAATGTGTGTATTTCACTACATATAAAATACATCTCAATTTTCAAAGTTTTTGCGAAAAAGCCACAATTCAAAGTACATGTAAAGTAACTGCCAAACACCATTACCTGATCCAAACAACAACTACCCATAGTCACCACTATATTCATGAGAGGTATATTTCTCACCTTTAAAGCCTGCTACAGAATAGTCATATACCACCCCTCAAAAAGAAAAATACTGCTCAGCAATGTGAATGGTGAATGTACTTAAGACTATTCAACCGCACACTTAAAAATGGTTTTGATAGTAAATTTTATGTTATGTGTTCAGTTCAGTCGCTCAGTCGTGTCCGACTCTTTATGTGTATTGTACCACAATTAAAAATGAAAAAAAAAATTACGATAGCATAATAGAATTACAACTTTAAAAGCTACCATTCTTTAGGTTAACCCAGACACAGCTGGGTTTTATCTAAATTAAGGAGTAAACATAAAACAATTTTCAAACAGAAAATTTAAATAATTGCAAATAAGGAATTCATGTCGAGCTCTACAGAAAACTGCGCGTTGGATGTCCTTTAACTAGCACGTAAGAACTAACAGGCCTTGCAGAGCAGCTGTCGTTTCCCTGCTCGCTGTCCAGCCTTGGAGACCGAGGCCCAGAGGGCCAGGGGCCTCGCCCGGCGGAAGGGGACCCCTGGACAGGCTGGGAGGTCGCCTCCCCTGCCTGCTGGGCTGCTGGGTTCTACTTACTACGGAGGCTCAGATTTAAGCAGCTCCCCTCCAGCCCCAGCCCACCCTCAGCACATTTAAAACACTATCAGACTTACAAAAGCTGCCGCGGCCGAGATGGCTAGTCACACACCCCAACACACTTTCCCTTCTTGCCCTCACTGGGTGCTGGCAGGTGAGATGCAGCTGGAACCTCATGGCTGAGCGGAAGCCCGCCCCTCCTCACCCCCTGCTCCCTCTAGTTACCCCCTAGAGCCACACCCAGGGGCTACGCCCCGGAGCTGAGCTGATGGAGGCCGGACCACGCCGGCTCAGGACCACCCACCCAGGCTCGCGACCTGCCGGCCGAAGAAATGTGTGCTGTGACCCTGGCTTTGTTTCTTGCGTGCAGCAAACAATTCTGACAGAACTGTAGTCAAAGCCCTCCATTAAGTTAAAAAAAAAACTTGTATGTCTAAAATATTTTCCATTCATTTGACTTGAACCCCAAAACCAAGCAGAAACATCCACTTTGGGTTTCAAGGTAAGAGAGAAAATCTCACCCGCAGGGATGTCTTGCTCATCAGTCCTCTTCCTGTACCTACAAATGCAAAGAGAGAAAAAAAGGATAAATCCTAAGACAGCTTCAAGGTCTTAGAGATACTATTCTGTATAAGAGATGTGGGTGAACTTCAAAATGACACAAAGCTGAAACAGAGTGTCTCGCATCCTTTGACTCCCCGGGGAAACCAAGGATCAAGAAGCTATTCTGGACGATGTCTCGACCTCCTTTTGGGTTTATGATCCTTGAAGGGCAAAGTCTGCCTTAGATGTGACACCTAAAGATGATCATCCTCAAGCAGAAAAGGTGCTAGGTCTTATACAGGCCACCTGAAGCTGGACTCTCTCCCCTGTGGTCTCCTGGCCGAGGTGGAGGACCAACTCCCCAGGATACCCACCCAACTTCCGAGGCTGGACCCGCAGGTTACTTCTACCCGTTACCAGACCCAGCGCTCCAAAGGAATGATTAGTCTTTGGCTGAATGACCACTAAAGCCCACTCAGGTGCCACAAAGCCTGGGGCTGTGCCCTCCCCTCCCCAGACAGACAAGCCACGAGCCGCACTCTCCTTGACCTCACAAGCCACGAGCCACGCTCTCCTTGACAGGACAAACCACGAGCCGTGCTCTCTTTGACATGTCAAGCCATGAGCCGCGCTCTCCTTGACCTGACAAGCCACGAGCTGCGCTCTCCTTGACCTGACAAGCCATGAGCCGTGGTCTCCTTGACAGGACAAGCCACGAGCCTCACTTTCCTTGACCAGACAAGCCACGAGCCACGCTCTCCTTGACAGGACAAATCACGAGCCGCGCTCTCCTTGACCTGACAAGCCACGAGCTGCGCTCTCCTTGACCTGACAAGCCACGAGCCGCGCTCTCCTTGACCAGACAAGCCACGAGCCACGCTCTCCTTGACAGGACAAACCACGAGCCGTGCTCTCTTTGACATGTCAAGCCATGAGCCGCGCTCTCCTTGACCTGACAAGCCACGAGCTGCGCTCTCCTTGACCTGACAAGCCACGAGCCGCGCTCTCCTTGACCAGACAAGCCACGAGCCACGCTCTCCTTGACAGGACAAACCACGAGCCGTGCTCTCTTTGACATGTCAAGCCATGAGCCGCGCTCTCCTTGACCTGACAAGCCACGAGCTGCGCTCTCCTTGACCTGACAAGCCACGAGCCGCGCTCTCCTTGACCAGNCCCTGGACTACACAGTCCATGGGGTCGCAAAGAGTCAGATAAGACTGCGCAACTTTCATTTTCACTTTTATCCTTTAAAATTCATGTGCTAATTTAAGTGGAAATTCCTCTCTAAACATATATGAACAGAACTCAGCAGGCGGAATAAATCCAGAAGGTACTTTACCTATATGTCCACAACACAGGGTTCAATAGACCAGAAAACAGATCACAGTAACTTGTACTTACTAAGCCAAGGTAGGAAGTGGTCATTAGAATGTTACTAGACTACTCACTGCCTTATAATTTCTGCTGCCATCTATCCGAGAGGCCCAGATTTGGACAGTGCTTTTAGTGTTAAAAGGAAATATTGGAAAAAAATAAAAATAAAAGGAAATACCGGGGTCAGCTCCCAAAGCATAAATCAGATCAAAGTCTAGAGACTGAATCTTGATTGTAACTTGGGAATCCTGCCTTGATGCTCCACAAACTAATTCCCCAGAATTTCATACATTTTGACAGACTCCCATGAATATTCTCTCTGATCCTACACTGATTAAAAGCTAAAGATACAGAAAGCACTTAGGGAAGGTGTTGTGGACTGACTGTTTGTGTCCCCTTAAATTCAAGTGTTGATTTCCTAACCTCTAATGCAACAGGTTTAGGAGGCGGGACTTCTGGTAAGTGACTAGGTCAAGGGTAGAGCCCTCATGAATGGAATCTGTGCCCTTGTAAGAAGAGAGAAGAGAGCTCCTCTCGTGAGGACACGAGAAGATTCACAGAGCAGGACTCAGTCCTCACTAGATACTGAATCTGCCCGCACCACAATTTTGGACTTCTTAACCTCCAGAACTGTCTGAAATAAATTGCTGTTTAAGCCAGCAGGTTCTATGGTAATTGGTTACAGCAGCCCACAATGATGACGGTTCCTTGCCCCCAGAATTGTAAGTGCTGGGTTCTGCTCACTGCCGAACCACTTTGCTTTAGCTCCTCCATCACCATGAATCTAGACGTGGGCCCAGAGGAAGTTGTTGCCACTTTTAAAACTGCTCACTCTTCACTGCTCTAAATCATAGACAGATTACTTATTTTCAGGCATTCAATTGAAACCATATGCCAATTCCGGCTTGATCATTTTAAATCTATCCTTCTTAAGGCAAAGTGACACTCAGGGAGTAGGCAGGCCTTAGGCACAGCAAGTCCACTCTGGACACTGCTTTTCTCTTGATCATCTCAAAGAATTCCACCAGGGACTTCCCTGGTGGCCGGTGGTTTAAGGCTCCGCCTGCCAAAGTAGAGGACACAGGTTCAATCCTTGATCCGGGAAGGTCCACATGCCCTGAAGCAACTGGGCCCACGCACCCCAACTACTGAGCCAGCGCACGGGGAGGCTATGCTCTGCAACGAGACGCCAGCGCGATGAGAAGCCTGTGCCCGCAGCTACAGAGCAGCCCCCCAGCCCTGCTCGGGGCAACTAGAGAAAGCCCACGTGCGGCAACCAAGACCCAGCACAGCCAAAAATACGTGGAGTCTTTAAATACACTTATTAAGGAAAAAACTCCATTCGGTAAAATCTAACAGCATGTTTTTTACTAGGCATTCCCTGACACACAGAAACAGAAAGTTAAACATTGTGTTAGAGGCTAAGAAATATGACTCATCATCATAAAAAAGGAGCAATCCTAACAGAGAATGGTTCAAAATCAAGTATCTCAGCCCAGCGTCATCATGTATCACTGACACACACAGAACAACCTCACACACATCCCCGCACTAGACCCTCACTAGGAGCACATGAGGTAAACAGTTTATCTTGCGGGCATTTAAGGAAGTCCGTGTGCTCAAAGTTAAAGTACCTAATGGATACTCGAATCATCATTTTAATGGCCAAGGGGAACCTTCAGAGGCTTATGACTTAAGTATTCTATAAGGTGAAACATCTGCACCTGCCCGGTGATACTGAACTTCAAGGCCCTCAGCTCACAACCGTCTCTGTGCTACGGCAAACCCGAAACCCGTTTGAGGAGCACATCGGTCCTCTCGGTGGTGACCTCAAGCCCACTCGTGGACAGAGCTGGGTGGCCTTGTCTGAAGACACATGCCCACAGCCGCCAGCTCCCCAACTTCTGTGAGAGAATGTTCCAGAAGAGAATGCTGACCCAAACTTCCTGGCAAGTTCCTCAATTTTCGGTAAATGTTAATCCAACCTCCACAGGGAAACCCCTCAACTTTCAGAAAAGAACATTCACCCATCCCTGTTCAGTGGCTGTGGACGCCAGGGCCACACAGGGGCTCCCCCTCCAAGGCGTGGGGCTGGGGGGCAGCGCAGTTAAGGCTTCCCTCAGGGTTCCTCTCCTGGAGCCACCCACCCAGGGAATAAGCACCCCCGCTGGTTCTTTGGAACCTGCTGGCCTGAGAAAACTCCTGGGATGCACCTGAGCTAGGGGATAATCCCATCAGCTGCACAGGACTTGAAAATCTCAAGAAACCACCATGAGTAGGTTGATGGGGTCACCAGTCACCATGTTACACAGCGTCTTCCCTACAAAAACCCAGTGAAGACATTTCCCTCACACCTATTTTCCAGAAATACCTATAGCTCTGATGAGTAAACGATTTAGTTGTGCTCACAGAACACTAAGATCCAGATAACTGACCATGTACACTGGGCTGCTAGACAGAGGAGTCAAATTGGCAGCCCATCTCTGACAGGGCTACAGTTCAGTTCAGTCTCTCAATCGTGTCTGACTCTCCGAGACCCCATGGACTGCAGCACACCAGGCCTCCCTGTCCATCATTAACTCCTGGAGTTTACTCAGACTCATGTCTGTTGAGTCAGTGATGTCATCCAACCATCTCATCCTCTGTCGTCCCCTTCTCCTCTCACCTTCAGTCACGGGTACAAGATGTCATGATTATGGCTTTTAGGTGTTATCCTTATCCCTGCCTTCATCTTATTTTTCTGTTCTCATTTCCCTCTTCTAAATTTTATTTCACCATTTTGGAATTTCTGTCCACAAGCCACTTAAAACTCATTTTCAGAATAAGGTAAAGTGTAAATAAATATTACACCTACAAGGCAGGAAGCCTGCCACACAACAGAAGACGTGCTCCCAGAAAGAATACAGCCCGCCTGCGAGAATCACCCTGGTTCTCCCATCACCTGGGCCCATGTGTCTCTCAGGAGACAGGTGAATGAATGCCAGATCTTACCTGGAAAACAAGCAGGAATCAAGTTTGTATCTTCAAACTTCCTATCTTTCAGCCACTTCTTAAGCTCTATAAATTCAGGCTTGTAGCTCTCATTCACTAATCAAGAGAGGAAAGAAAACCTGGTGACTAAAATCACTATCTAATTGGATCACTCCAAACTGACAAGATGACTTTAAAATTCATATGGAAATGTGAAAGACCTGAAATAGCCAAAACCACTTTGAAATATTGATCTCAAAACTTTGTATCACTATAAAATGACAGTAACTAAGATTGTGTGATACTGTCATCAAGAAAGAAAAAGAAATCAATGGAATAGAAAGTCCAAAACAGACCTACACATATGCTGACAACTGGTGTTTTTTTTTAATGCAAGGGCAATTCCATGGAGAAAGAACAATTGTTGTTGTTTTTTTTTTACTAAATACTGCTAGAACATTTGGAATAAACAAATCATGGACTATAATTCCTGTTAAAACAAAGACCTATTGATACACATAACAACACGGAATTATCTCAAAATAATTATGCTGAGTAAAAGAAGACAGATTTCTTTAAATGCATACTATATAATTAAATAAAACCATAAAACACAAATCAATAGTGAAAGCAGATCAGTGGTTGTCTGAAGATGGAGGGAGGAAGGGTTCAAAGAGGGGCCAGATGAAAGGATTACCAAGGGAAATGAGAAACTTCTTAGGGTGATAAATAATGTTCATATCTTGACTTTGGTAATGGCTTCCTGTGTGTATACATATGTCAAATTCTATCAAATACGTGACATTCATTGTGGGCTAGTTATACCTCAACGAAAGTGTTTTCTTAAGAAACATATGATCCAAAATATAAGGCTCCTAAAATAGGTTATTACAACCTAAAGAAAAGAGTTCACAGTAAGAGCATTGAAAAAGCAACTACTACACCCCCAGGACTGTTAACCACTGTGGAGGACGTCCAACATGCTCTTCACCCTCGAGAGGTTAATGTTTTGGTTGGGTAAAAAAGACTTCTACAAAAACCAAGTGGAAAACCAGAAGCATGGAAACTGGGTGACATTAGTGAGAACTGGAAATGGCATTACCGAAAACATAAAGACCTCAACTCAGTCTCAAAGGTGAGAGAGAAACGCAACAAGCTGGGAGAAGGGAAGAAAGCTGGTTTGGCTGGAGAAAGACTGAGGAACGGCAAATGTGGGGAAGTGGGTAGAGAACATACTTTCAGCACAAGGAGTGGAAGGGGGAGCCATTTAGAAAGGGAGTTGATGTCAAACAGCATACAAGAGACAATGAGGTGCTCGCTTCGGCAGCACACATACTAAAATTGGAACGATACCTGCGCAAGGATGACAAGCAAATTCGTGAAGCGTTCCATATTTTTATGCACTTATGGACACCTTATTTTCAACAAAGGAGACAAGAATATACAATGGAGAAAAGACAATCTCTTTAACAAGTGGTGCTGGGAAAACTGGTCAACCACTTGTAAAAGAATGAAACTAGAACACTTTCTAACACCATACACAAAAATAAACTCAAAATGGATTAAAGATCTAAATGTAAGACCAGAAACTATAAAACTCCTAGAGGAGAACATAGGCAAAACACTCTCCGACATAAATCACAGCAGGATCCTCTATGACCCACATCCCAGAATTTTAGAAATAAAAGCAAAAATAAACAAATGGGACCTAATGAAACTTAAAAGCTTTTGCACAACAAAGGAAACTATAAGCAAGGTGAAAAGACAGCCCTCAGATTGGGAGAAAATAATAGCAAACGAAGCAACAGACAAAGGATTAATCTCAAAAATATACAAGCAACTCCTCCAGCTCAACTCCAGAAAAATAAATGACCCAATCAAAAAATGGGCCAAAGAACTAAACAGACATTTCTCCAAGGAAGACATACAGATGGCTAACAAACACATGAAAAGATGCTCAACATCACTCATTATCAGAGAAATGCAAATCAAAACCACAATGAGGTACCATTACACGCCAGTCAGGATGGCTGCTATCCAAAAGTCTACAAGCAATAAATGCTGGAGAGGGTGTGGAGAAAAGGGAACCCTCTTACACTGTTGGTGGGAATGCAAACTAGTACAGCCACTATGGAAAACAGTGTGGAGATTTCTTAAAAAGCTGGAAATAGAACTGCCATATGACCCAGCAATCCCACTTCTGGGCATACACACCAAGGAAACCAGATCTGAAAGAGACACGTGCACCCCAATGTTCATCGCAGCACTGTTTATAATAGCCAGGACATGGAAGCAACCTAGATGCCCATCAGCAGACGAATGGATGAGGAAGCTGTGGTACATATACACCATGGAATATTACTCAGCCATTAAAAAGAATGCATTTGAATCAGTCCTAATGAGGTGGATGAAACTATTATACAGAGTGAAGTCAGTCAGAAAGAAAAACACCAATACAGTATACTAACGCATATATATGGAATTTAGAAAGGTGGTAACAATAACCTCACATGTGAGACAGCAAAAGAGACACAGACAGTTTTTTGGACTCTGTGGGAGAGGGCGAGGGTGGGATGATTTGGGAGAATGGCATTGAAACGTGTATATTATCATATGTGAAAAAGATCGCCAGTCCAGGTTCGATGCATGAGACAAGTGCTCAGGGCTGGTGCACTGGGACGACCCCGAGGGATGGGATGGGGAGGGAGGTGGGGGGGGTTCAGGATGGGAAACACATGTACACCCATTGGCGGATCCATGTCAATGTATGGCAAAACCACTACAATAATGTAAAGTAATTAGCTTCCAATTAAAATAAATAAATTTATTTTATTTATTAAATAAAATAAATAAATTTTAAAAATATTTCCAATTTTAATAAAAAGGTATATATAAAATAAATAAATAAAAAATTAAAAATAAATATTAATTAATTAAAATTTAAAAAATAATATTTCCAATTTTAATAAGAAAAAAGAGAGAGAGACAATGAGGCGGGACTTCCCTCGTGGACCGATGGCTGACTTCACACTTCCACTACAGGCGGCATGGGTTCCATCCCCTAGTGTGGGAACTAAGCTCCTACATGCAGTGCAACCAAAAAAAAAAAGAAGAAAGACAGAGGGTAATGGGTCTTTAAAAAAAAAAATAAAGACAATGAGGATCCTGGAGGCTCCTAAACCAAAGAGGCAACAGTCCCTTAGGAAAGTCAGCCTGACGGTGGCAACCGGAACTACGAAGAGGAAAGAAAAACAAGGATGTGCTGAAGAGCCGGCTGAGGTCACCTCTGGGCACATCAGAGGCGGAGGGGTTAACCGAAGAAAGACCAGGAGAGAGTGAGCGGGACGTGGCCTATAGGGCAGAGAAGGCTACAGAGTCAAAGATAACCTCCAACGGAGCTGGCGTGCTGCGGGTCAGCTGCAAGGCATTTCAGTCACTTTCATCAAAAATAACAAGTGCACTTATGCAGTCCTCTCCAGTGGGCCAAGTACTTTCGAATACACTATCTTGTTCAGACTGGGTTACACTGAACTTGAGATTATAAACTTATATCCAAACACTGATAACCTATAGGCAGTGAGAGGTCAGGCCTAGAAACAGAAACCTGGGAGTCATCCCCAGAGAAGACAGAGTTGAAGCGATATATTTGTCATCCCATAAGGGTTTAAAAGAATAAAATGGCACTATTACAAAACAGTATTCTCTAAGAGGGCTTCCCTGGAGGCTCAAATGGTAAACAATCTGCCTGCAAGGCACGAGACCCATGCTGGGAAGATCCCCTGGAGAAGGGAACAACTACCCACTCCAGTACTCGAAGTATTCTCTATGAACACTGCTCATGTGGCTTTGAGAAAAGCTCTGTGCATCTCTTAATATCAACCAGCAAAGGACTCCTTTTTTCATCACTGGCACCAAAAGAATCAAAACTGTACCTCCTCTTGATTCAGAACTTCTGAAGAGTTTTCGTCTTCTGATCCGGCTTGTTCTTCCTCCTCCGTTCTTCATACTAAAAATGAGGTTTCTGTTTAATTGTCCAAACTAAAACAAAAAGCATTTTCTTTGCTTTTCTTTCCAGTTGTATGACAATCACTGTTCTTTGTACCTGTAAGGATATAAATATACAAACCATTTCTCTAAAATGCTTTTGCATACAAATTGTTTATACTATGAGCTAAATCATGATCCCTGTGCAGTAACAGAATTACCATTATATTGGTCCCTCTAAAACAGTTTTATCTCACTTCCTACTAAATGCTGATTAATCATGGAAATTCTCACTATCGAGTTCAGAATTTGTGCACATCTCAATGCTAATCAATGTTTATGAAGTAACAGCCTAACTGTACTCTGAATAAACAGTCACCATGCACATGAAAAGATGCTCAACATTGCTAATTATCAGAGAAATGCAAACCAAAACTACAATGAGGCACTATCTCACACTAGTCAGAATGGCCATCATTAAAAACTCTACAAATAATAAATGCTGGAGAGGGTGTGAAGAGGGAGCCCTCCTACACTGTTGGTGGGAATGTAAGTTGGTGCAGCCACTACGGAAAACAGTATGGGAGGTTCCTCCAGAAACTAAAAGCAGAGTTGCTATACAACCCAGCAATCCCACTCCTGTGCATATATCTGAACAAAACTATAATTCAAAAAGATACATGCACCCCTATGTTCAAAGCAGCATTATATACAATAGCCAAAACATGGAACCAACCTAAATGTCCATCTACAGATATGGTACATATATACAATAGAATACTATTCATCCATTTTTAAAAAAGAATGAAATAATGGCATTTGCAGTAACATGCATGGAACCAGAGGTTATCTAAGTGAAGTGAGCCAGAAAGGGAAAGACAAATACCATACAATGCCACTTATATGTTGATCTAAAATATGACATAAATGAACCTACCTATGAAACAGAAACAGAGTCACACACAGAACAGACTTGTGGTTGCCCTGGGGGAGAGAGGTGAAGAGGGATGGATTGCACTGAGATGCAAACTATTATATACAGAATGAATAAACAAGGCTTACTGTATAGCACAGAGAACTACATTCAATATCCTGGATAAACTATAATGGAAAGGAATATAAAAATATATATATGTGTGTGTTTATACATATAAATATATATATAGAATCACTTTGCCACACAGCAGAAATTAACACAACACTGTAAATCAACTGTACTTTAAAAAAAACAGTAGCAATGAAACCGCCATCTGCCCAGAAGTCGTACAAGGAAAAGAAAAAAAACGGTTTCTCTTTCAGTGTGAAGTAATGACTTATTCTTAAAACCAGGATCCTGAAGTAAACATAAACTAAGTAGGTGGTTGCCAGAGATTAGGGAGAAAATGAGACCCGAGAGAGGAGACAAAGCAAAGAGATGATTATAAAATCTACAATGACCACTACGGTTTCTACATGTTACTTCCTCAGAAATACAAAAATGACACCCATGAATCACACTGGCATGATACAGGTAATGGAGTATTATGAAGCCATTAATTTAAAGTACCTACGAAGACAGAAAAATATACAAGATATATTAAGTCAAAAAACAAAGTTGCAGAACAGATTCAAAGACCCCTTACTGGTCTGTGTTGGGCACATTTTATGTTTACAAAACAAGAGGATTTAGGAAAATATTCAAAAACGTACAAGGGGAGGGGGCTTTTACTATTCCTTCTGTAACTTCCTATTCTGACATATATATATATAGGTACATAAGTGACATAATCCTAATATTACTTATGTGCATATTATGTGCACTTTAAGACTTCCCTGTAGCTCAGACGGTAAAGAATCTGCCTGCAACGCAAGAAACCCAGGTTCAATCCCTGGGTCAAGAAGATCCCTTGGAGAAGCAAACAGCAACCCACTCCAGTATTCTTGCCTGGAGAATCCCATGGACAGAGGAGCCTGGTGGGCTATAGTCCGTGGGGTCGCAAAGAGTCGGACACGACTGAGCAACCAACGCTAATAGTACTATGTGCACTTTAACCAAATCACTGCTTTTCTTAAATTACTAAAAATTACCAGGTAGCCCATGAATAACGAGACACGAACCCCAGGCTCTAATACCATACTATTCCTCTCCAGCGATGAAGGTTCAGTGTTTCATCGACCCGAAGGTGGAGTCGGGCCCCAGGGCCCACCCCGGCTCGTCCCCTCGGCGGCCCCAGCGCCACCCCTGCGCACGGGCCGGGATGCCTCCGCGCGGACCCCCAAGACCCGAGGTCCGGGGAGCGAGGTGTGCACGTGGCGCCAGGGTGACCGCACGGCTGGCGGCACCGTCCTCGACCCCCGTTCTCAGACGCCAGACTTGAGGCCGCCCCTCCGTTGGCACACACTCCGCACCTACCCCGCCCTGACCCCACAGCTCTGCCGCCGCTGGAGGACACAGGGCTGAGACCACTGCTGCTTACAAACGCCCTGACTCAGGGCCCTCCACGTCGAGGACTCTCGGGTCGACTTTCGCTAAATGAACGACTCCCAAATACTGGGGGGCGTTAAGTTTAATGCGCAGCAGCATGGCAGGGGGTGGACGATGTGAATTCAGCTCTCTTTTTTAAATAAAAATAGAAGGGGAGCCCAAGAGAAAGCCTAGTCCCGTTACCCCGGCAACCGAGGCCCCGCCCCGGAAGTTGCCGAGCGGCAAGCGGAGGCCCCGCCCCGGAGGTTTGCCAACGCACCTCGATACAGCTTCAAGACGCCGGTGGGCGGGCCCGAAGCGCGCGAACACCCGAAACAGCACGCCAGTTGCCAGCGAGTTATAGAAGCGGGCCGCAGCACCAGGGGAAACAGCCGAGCGCCGCCAGGCCCGTCTCTAGGCCCCACTGACCCAAGTTCTTGGTCGCCAGGCTGAGCTCTCGGCGCCGCGTGCCTCCGCCTACCGGCATGCACATGCGCATTCTTCCGGGGCGGGGGGTGGAAGGGGACGGCACGGCTGACAGAACTAGTTAGGGTCGTCCGAGGCTGGACTGCAGGTCTAGGGGTAAGAAAACCCTGTGGCCCGTGGACCAGGAGCCTACGCGCGGAAAGCCGACCTGGAGCGTCTTTCCTTCGGTAGTCCCAAGGGAGAAGCAGCCAATCGTGCGTCTGCCAGGGCGGCCGCCCGCCCTCTCTGTCGCCAGCCCACTTCCGCTTTTCCGGGGGCGGGCCTTGCAAGGCCAGGCCATCCCCCATTTCCGGGCTGACTTTGCTTCGACCCTCCGACTGTCTGTGGGCCAGAGCGCCCTATCGCGTTCCTCTTCCGCCCAAGGACACTCAGGTCATCTGGCCCGGTTGGCTGTCCCAGGAACAGTGTAACTTCTCCCTAAAGAAGACGGAATTCAGTTGCTGCCCTACCCACTATTCAGTTGAGTCGCTCAGTCATGTGCAACTTTTTGCAACCCCATGGACTGCAGCATGCCAGGCTTCCCTGTCCAACACCAACTCCCAGAACTTGTTCAAACTCATGTCCGTGGAGTCCGTGATGCCATCCAAACATCTCATCCTCTGTCGGCCCATTCTCCTGCCTTTCCCAGGAACAGGGTCTTTTCCAATGATTCAGTTATTTGCATCAGGTGGCCAAAGTATTGGAGTTTCAGCTTCAGCATCGGTCCTTACAGTGAATATTCAGGACTGATTTCCTTTAGGATGCACTGGTTGGATCTCCCTGCAGTCCAAGTGACTCTCAAGAGCCTTCTCCAACACCACAGTTCAAAAGCGCTCAGCTTTCTTTATAGTCCAACTCTCACATTCATACATGGCTACTGGAAAAACCATAGCCTTGATCAGACAGACCTTTGTTGGCAAAGTAATGTCTCTGCTTTTTAATATGCTGTCTAGGTTGGTCATAACTT